CGGGGCCGTACTGTCCGCCGCCTGGTGCGCCGTCTCCGCCGCTGGGGCCTGCTTCCTCGAGCCAACCCTCCAGCCCGAACCCCTGAAACCAGACCCCAAGTCACACCTTCTGACGCTCCCCTTGAAGCCCTAGATGGCAGCACAGGTCCAGCCCGTGAGATCGGGGCAGTAGGTGGGCAGGATGGGGAACAGGCACCCCCACTGCCTGTCAAGGCTCCCCTCCCATCTGCTAGCATACCTCCAGCCCTCCCTACTATCCTGGAGGCCCCAGGGCCACTGCCTTCAGTGCCCCTAGAACCATCACTGCTGTCTGGAGTGGTGCAGGCCCTGCGAGGCCGCCTCTTGCCCAGCCTTCGGCCGCCAGGACCAATCCAGCCCCCAGGACCAACCCAAACCCCACCTGAACCCCACACGATAGTCCTGTCCCCAGAGGATGAAGACGATGTACTGCTGGTGCCACTGGCTGAGCCGGGAGTCTGGGTAGTTGAAGCAGAGGACGAGCCACTGCTTGCCTGAGGGGACCTGGGCTCTCCTGGGGGCTCTAGTCACAGTGACAACCACCCTTTAGAAACAGCTCAGCTTCACTCCCACTACTTCCCTCCCTGACCCTAGGTCTGAGGGGACTTGGTGAGCCTCCCTTTGGCCCTGTGTAGCTGCTGTCAAGTTAGGTGTCCCTCAGGCAGAGAGAGGGCTCATACAGAGCTCCCTCTGCACCTGGCCAGAGATCACAGTCTCTACACCACCACCATTTGGGTGGCTCTTTTTAAAGAGTAAAGTTCTTAAGAGGTCATAGGCCTGAACACTCCATCCTTACCAATCCCCCACCAAAAGTGGCCTTAAGCACCAGCATGCCAATTGGCTGGAGACCTCTAGCCCCCAAGGGGAGGATTTAGGCAGGGCCTGTGGTTTTGCCAACTGTGATCCTTCCTATAGGGCCTGGCTAAAAAAAAAAAAAAAAAAGCACAACAAATGCTTTTGTCCGATAGCTAGGTCATTGCCCAGAAGTCAAGGTTGAAAATAAAGGAATCAGAAATTTAAGATTTTTGTACATGAGCTGTGAGCCTGAGCCCTGCGTCTCTACCCATCTCAGCTTATGCTCACCTCACTTTGCTCCTTCCTGTGTAGGCCTTTGCTCTCCCCTCTTCCTATTGATCTAATCACACACTCTTGATTTTACCACCACATAGTGGGTAAGAAAATTCTAGGGATCCTAAGAACCAACCCTCTCCACCTCCACTCACCACCTGGGGCCCAACTCTACAGTGATTGACACCAGGGTGAGCACCAAACCTCTTTATTCACTGCCAGGCCAGAAGCCTGGTGAGCCTGCTGGGCCCTGGAGCTGGAAAGGTTTCCATTTATGGAGTACTTGCAGAGTACAGATCACAGGAGCAGATTGTCCCTGGTAGAATATGGGAGCGGTGACTCCTGCCCTCCACCCTCTACCCCCACCAGACAATTACAGTCTGTCCTAGGCAGATGAGCTTTTCACAGGCTGCCTCAAAGCAGGCAAAGGTGAATTGAGAGAAAAATCAGAAACATTCAGAATGTGAAGATGCTGGCATCTACTTGGCCAAATCTAAGAGGTCTTCCTGGAAGAAGGCCCAAACTAGATTAAAGAACACTGTCAGTAGTTGGAATAGAGTTGTGAATTCCAGGCATGGTGAGTGTCCACCGGATAAGCAAACTAAGCAGACTTGAGAGTGAAGGCTATAATAAGCTGGACCCTGAACCTCAGAAAAGGTGCAGGAACGCAAGCAGTAGCCAGAGGCAAAGAGCTGGAGAGGGTGATGGAGGAGGGAATGATCTGTGAAAATGTTGGAACCCAGCCTCTGGTAAGCAAGGTGATAGAGCTGTCCCAGAGTTTGACATGAAAATCGGGACAAAGGATTTAGAAGGAACTATGGGGGTGAGCATTATGCCCAGGAACAGAGGTGAGGCATCCCTGACACAACACCCTCCCCCCCATCCCCAGGGAAGCCCCCAGCCTCATCCTCGCCTTTCCTGCCTGGCCTGGCCTATCCCCACCCTCTGGTAGAGGGCCCTGTTGATTATACCCTGTCAACCTTACATGCAGTGCTGATTGCATAATGTTTCCTCCTTCCCAGTGAGCAAGAGCCTAAGGAATGGCAAAAAGGGTATATGGTGCAGTCCTGGGACCCTGGCGTCTTGGCTCGGGAAAGACCCGAGTTCCTTTTCACTGCAGATCCTCTCCAGAGATTGGAGAAGGGGCTCCAGAGATCTCCCTTCTTGCTTACTGTTCTTCCTTTGGGCCTTCCTTCCCCAGTGCAACAATCCCTGGGTCCCACCAGTGTCCGGCCCAGTGACATAGGGAATGTTTTTTCCCCCTCCCATTCTTCCATCACCTGGTCTCTACCTTCTTCCTGCTCCTGTCTTCCCTACAGCCATCTCAAAAACCTTCAACCTGGTATTTCATCCCTTGTCCTACTCGAGACCTTTTTTGTAATGAAAGTGGACAGAGATTCAAGGTCAAAGAACGCTCCCCATGATGGAACTCCTCAGAATGCTGGAGGGAGGACTTGAAGGTAGAGTTCACTAGAAAGGCCTGTGTGTATAGATTCACGAACCTAAAAGAAGCTTCTCTGGGTGCTGGGTGTGTGCTCTGGGAGATGCAAGCAGTAACACTATTATCAGCCACAGTGAAGCTCCAGGTTGATGGGGAGAAGGAATTGGCCTCGTACAGGCAGTAAGAGAAATCTAGTAAAACAGAGGGTCCTACCCAGGAGAGGGTGGGACATTGGGGAACATTCACCCAAGTTTATTTTAACCATGGCCCAAGGAAAAAGAGGAGGCAACTTCAAATACTATCAGGATAGACACCACTATCTGTGGTGCCCAATATCAGGGCTGAAAGAGGAGGAGGTGGTGTTCTCAGCTTAAGAGGGGGATCGGCTGGAAATGTGAGAACAACAGAATTCAGTCCTTAAAGGAGCAGAATCTGGGCCTAAACCAAGTTCTGGTCCCTTCTGGGAAGGAAGGGGGTCCCCCAGCCACACAGAAGAGGCCGTGGGAGCACCAATAATTGGGCTCTGCTAAGGGTCAGATCCATTATCCCATGTGGCCAACCCTCAGAACAAGGCTGTGCCATGGGCATCGTAACCACACGAGCCAGTTCACAGGTTCAGAGCAGCATCCAAGGAATTAGGAGACTAGCCTAGTCTCTACAGAGAGGCAGATTTAAACCTGGGCTGGTTCGCTTCCAAATCTCACCCTTTCCCACTATTCCATAGGCTCTCCCATTCCTGAGGGAGCTTGGAGATGGATGAGCAAGTATACAGCTTCTTACCTGTGAGGAAGAGAGATGGTGGTTCAGGGTGAAACCCAACCTGTTCCTGTGGCCTAAGGCTGGTTTGAGGGCAGGCAGAAGTCATAGTCAAGAATCCTTGCTGGGTTCAGCAGCCCCTGACTCACTCATCTGATACCAGAAAAATGAATCCAACCACCTCATTGAGTTTTCCAACTACATCAAGCTCACACCTTTATACTTTAAAACTTCTCTAAAAACTCCTTTTGGAAGGAAATCATTCTAAAACACTACACTCATATGTAGCTCATTGGTGGTCTCCAGACAGCGCTCAGCGATGGAAGTCGGGGGTGGGAGCAGCCCCTGGGAGCCAGAACCTAATATAAACCTTTCTGGGGTGCTGAGGATCACTCACAGAAACCAATGGCTCCTCCTAAGCTATGTTTTCAGAAGTTATAACAGTGTCAGGGGGCTGTTTGCCTTTATGCCAAATGGTATTAGAACACCTTTTAAATGCTTATGACTGCTTTAAAAGGTTTTTGTGGTGTTGCTTCCCTTACTACCAGGCTATCAGGGGTCACTTGCTGCTCTAAATGTGCTTCTGATCTGTGTGTACACGAACACACATGGACACATTAGAATTGTGAATAACAGATAAATAGTCCATAATTGAAGACTGGAGAGTCTATCCTATGAGTACAGTGCATGAGTATTGTACCTGCTCAGGAGTCCTTTCTGCTCCCACTAGACCCCACAATGTTGCCCTGTAGTTGATCTCTAGATAAATGAACTGTTACTGCATGTTAGTCCGATTACCATTTGCCTCTTTGATTGGAAAAGTCCACCAAAGATTGCAATATAGATTGTTCCCAATAACAGGAGACAGTTGGAATATTTAAGACAAGAAAGGCAGCATAGGGTAGAGATGAAGAAGCATCTTTGGCATTAGAAAAATGTGGGTGAGAGTCCTGGTGTCCCTACTTTTTTTCCAGCTGCATGATTGATTTGGAGACAGGCCATCCGCCTACCACTCTGAGCCTTACAGCCATGAGGATGAAAGATATTGTAGGAAGACCTGACAAAAATGGGGTCAGCAGGGGCCAGGAAATCAGAATGTTTGGGTGCTTGCAGGTGTCAGGAAGGAAGACCAAGAGTAATTGGGCAGGAAACGAACAATAAATGAGACACCCATCCTGGCTTTACAGAGGAGGTAGACACTGTGTCTGCCTTGTGTAGCCCAGAAGCCCTGGTGGCTGTCCCAGAGAGGGATTCAAGGGGAGGGGCTAGCACTCTATACCCCACCTTGAGGTTGGGGACCTCCAGAGGGTTAGTCTCTCCCTTCTTTCCTGCTCTGATTAACACTAGGCTGGTGGGCCCAGCAGGAAGGGAGAAAAAGGAAGTCCCCACAATGGTTTGCAGCACCTGAACTTGGTGACGAAAGGAAGCAGCCCAAACAAAGCAACCATCTCTCCTTCCTCAAAGCCCCATCTACTTAGGGACCAGGCTGGGAAATGGGTACTTTTCTGGGCCTTAGCCCAGAAGCGGTGGTGTGGGGAAGGAGAGGATGGCAGGGAACCTTGGTGGCAAGGTGGGTGCCTCCTGTCTGCATTTCTTTTGTTTTCTGCCTCTAGCCCTCCATTTAGCCACAGAGCACCTACTCTGGGCTAGACATTGGGCTAGGGGGCTGGGATGCATAATCCTGGCTCCTGGAGAAAGACCTCTCGGTCCTGTGCGCTCTGATTAACACTAGGCTGGTGGGCCCAGCAGGAAGGGAGAAAAAGGAAGTCCCCACAATGGTTTGCAGCACCTGAACTTGGTGACGAAAGGAAGCAGCCCAAACAAAGCAACCATCTCTCCTTCCTCAAAGCCCCATCTACTTAGGGACCAGGCTGGGAAATGGGTACTTTTCTGGGCCTTAGCCCAGAAGCGGTGGTGTGGGGAAGGAGAGGATGGCAGGGAACCTTGGTGGCAAGGTGGGTGCCTCCTGTCTGCATTTCTTTTGTTTTCTGCCTCTAGCCCTCCATTTAGCCACAGAGCACCTACTCTGGGCTAGACATTGGGCTAGGGGGCTGGGATGCATAATCCTGGCTCCTGGAGAAAGACCTCTCGGTCCTGTGTCCCTGCCTCCCGCCTTCCTTACCCACCAAACCCTCGCCCCACTTCTCTGAGACCCTGTCTCTTCTGCTGACTTTGTTCTGTTATGTCTTACCCGGACTCTGCAGTGTGTGTGCTCCCAGAGGGAAGCGACACAAAGCGGGGAGGGCAGAAAGGAGGGAATCCCGCTGACATCACTGTTCATTAGCATGTGTGACCTCATCAGGGGCGGGACAATTTCCCCAGGTGTCTAGGGGGGAGGACACGTGGTGGGGGGGGGTGGTATTTAAAGGGAAAAGCTGACAGTGCTGCTAAATGAGATAGCGGTGCTGCTGGTCGCCCGGGCTGCACACACACGCACACCGATGCATTCGGACCTGGACGCCGACATGGACACGGACACAGAAACCACAGCACTCTGCCCCTCCGGCAGCCACCAGAATTCCCCCCCAGGGACGCCCACACCAGGTGAGGCAGAGCGGGGCAGATTTTGGCTGGAACCATGGGGGTGGGAGCCGAAGCTTTGGTGGGGAGGTCAGAACTAGGGGGTTAAAGGAGCTTGAACCCAAACAGCAAGAAGGGTAGAGCAAGTTGGAAAGGGGGGAAGCCTCCCACTCACACTAGGAATGGGGCTGAACTGGGGGGTCGGGGGAAGAGCTGCTTAAATGCCCCCTCCCCCTCACTCTCAGGGCTACGCTGGGGAAATTTGTACTTGGCCCCCTAGGTACGACTCGTTTCCAAGAAGCAGGATGAAGGAACGGGGGGAAAGGGAAGGGGCGGCCCCCAAGCCTGGGAATCACGGGCAAGGGGCGGCCCTGGGGACCTGTTGTAAGGGTTTCTTCTGGCTCCTGGAGGCCCTGGCTGCTAGCCAAGTATTGATCCTGGGCTATTTCCAGCCTCTCTCCATCCCCCTTTGTTGTGTCTGTCCATCTTCCTCCTGTTACCCTGACCCATGCATTGTCACGCTCTTAGGCTCCTGCTCTTTCGCTATCTCCCTCTCCCACCCTCCCTCTTCCTCACCATGAACACAATATTTTCTCCAACTCACGGAAACAGCCAGGGGTGCAGGATTCTCACGCACTGGGGGATACTCACCTACAAGGCCACAGGAAGAGGCAGCCCCCCTCATGCACACACCCACAGAGACACAAAGCACACATCTCAAAGAGCAAAGGACCTTCCCTGAGATCGGGCTCCCCGCAAAGTTTTTGACTACCGCTACCCACCCCCACAGAACATGGGCAGCAGCTTCAGTATCTCATTCCTGAGCCAGCAAGCCAGGGGGTTGCCAGTGCAGGAAGCAGCAGGGGCAAGGCCTCTTGGCCGAAGGAAGAGCAGCCCCCCCACCCCGCCGGGCCAGAGGGTGTGCCTATGTGTCAGTGTGAAGTGTGAGTGGGTGTGCAAGGCTGCACACAGGCGCCTCCCCTGCATGGGGCAGTTTTGAATAGGTTGTGGCTGGAGCCACTTTGGACAAGCCATCAGGTCAGCGCCTTGGTGCCCCACCAGTTCAGGCTTCTGGGAGAGTTTCGGTGTAAGGGGTTAGACCAAAGATTCTCAGCTCCTTCTGGGTCATGGTCATCAACTGGGCCTCTAAAGCTGGAGCAACCAGGATTGAGCCCTGTGCAGATGGCTAGGCACACCCCGCTCATAACTTCTTTCTCTTTGCCCCCCAGAAGCAAATGCCACACTGCTGAAGAAGTCAGAGAAACTGTTGGCAGGGTTGGACCGGAGCGGGCCACCCTCTGCCCCCGGGGTCCCCAGACGAAGAGGCAGCATGCCTGTCCCCTACAAGCACCAGCTGCGGCGGGCCCAGGCTGTAGATGAACTTGACTGGCCACCTCAAGCCTCATCCTCTGGCTCTTCTGACTCCTTGGGCTCAGGGGAGGCAGCCACCACCCAAAAGGATGGCATCTTCAAGGTCATGCTTGTGGGGGAGAGTGGCGTGGGCAAGAGCTCCTTAGCGGGCACTTTTGGCGGTCTCCAAGGAGACAGTGCTCACGAGCCGGAGAACCCAGGTATTTGGGGGAGCCCTGCAAGGGTTGAGGGTGCCTCCAGAGCTAGTCAGGGATGGAAGAGCTCAAGGTGTGAGCAGCCCCTGGGAGCCAGAACCTCGGAGAAGTTTCTCCAATGCTTTTTGTGGCAAGCTCCCTGGAGGACGGTCCCAGGTTCTGGGATCTGAGGCATCCCTGGTTACCAGGTCTCACAAGTGTTGGGAGCTTCCTAATGGGCACTATTCCCTGTCCTTATTTCCCAACAGAGGACACTTATGAGAGACGCATCATGGTGGATAAGGAGGAAGTAACCTTAGTTGTTTATGACATCTGGGAACAGGTGAGAACTAACACGTGGCTGCCAGCAGGTGATGACCCCTGGGAGAACTGGGGAAGGGCAAAGCCTGGGTGAAGGCTGGTGGGACTGCAGGCGCTGGTTTCAACATGTGTTATCATCTTAGCAAAGGCCCCCCTTGTGCGCATGTCATGGCCTCAAGATCCACTTCTCTCCGGGGTCTTCTGACCCAGAGGAAAGTTAGGATTTGAATTTGGCGAACCCTGCAGCTGCAAGCCAGGCTAAACATTCTGAAACTGACCCTATCCATACTTTTTTTCAGCCTGGAAGAGTCTGACCCCTCAAGAGTTCAGGGCTCTGGCATGTCAGGGAAAGAAAAAGAAAAAGTGAGGACTTGTGAACATTTGGATATAAATGGTTACTATATAGAAACAAGAGACCAGGTTACATAACACTTGAATAGCAGTCATTTCTTAAACTTTCTTGAGCTTATGTATCAGAAAATAGGACGGGCTACCCTAGCCTGGGATCCTGTGTCTCCAGTTCCCCAGTGTGGGCTCACATTACTAACTTGTACCTCCCCCACAAACACACCCTGGATATGGAGATTCTGCCATTAACTAGCTCCGCTGTTCTACACAGGTGGTTTCTCCCTCACCTCCTGATTCCTCGTCCTCGAGATCGTAGGTGCTGGGCAGATTTTCCCAGCTTCCCCGCCCTGACATTCTGACTTTCCGCCCATCTGCAGGGGGATGGTGCGGGGTGGCTGCAGGACCACTGCCTTCAGACCGGGGATGCCTTTCTCATCGTCTTCTCAGTCACTGACCGACGAAGCTTCTCCAAAGTTCCAGAGACTCTACTTCGACTCCGCGCTGGGAGGCCCCACCACGACCTGCCCGTCATCCTCGTTGGAAACAAGAGTGACCTGGCCCGCTCCCGGGAGGTCTCACTGGAGGGTGGGTATCCGGAACCTCGTCCATACTGCCATCCTAAGGTACCTCTCCCTTCCAAGTCACCTCTTTTGCATACGGCGTTTTTACCGCCAGCTGCACAGACTTAGCGACATTTCGCCCCAGGCTAAGCGCAGTCTCCCAATGCCCATGCCCAGGGCCCTGAGCAGCTCCTCTCTCCACTCCCCCTCACGTCTTCTCGCTGCCCCCTTTTCTCTCCCCACGATCCCTACTTGCCCTCTTCGCCTCAACCCCTTCCACGGCACACCCTGCCCCAGGCCCAGTGCAGCCCGCGGGCGCCTGATCCCGTCCCTCCCCGCAGAGGGCCGCCACCTGGCAGGAACACTGAGTTGCAAGCACATCGAGACGTCGGCCGCGCTGCAC